TTTTTTTTTTTTTTTATTATTATTATTATTATTATTATTACAAATAAATCATGATATTGAGAGAAAACGTGCCATGCAAACGTCGCATGGTTAGCCTCGAAATAAATTTTAAGTAAATAAATAAATTGAGATAAGTTGCGTCGTAATCTTACGTGTGCAAAATATGTATTTATTCGTTAAGTGAGTTGCAGAAAAGTGAACTAAATAAAATGCGCAAGGGCCTATAAAATAATAATAAAAAAAAAAAAAATAATAATAAATATACAGATTGCTGCTGTTTTTAAAGAACAGCATCTCTAATTTTTAGATAGTTCGAAATCTTAGTTAATGTTATTCTTCTATATTTATATGTCTTGCAATCCTGTATGCAATGATTTTTAAAGGTAATTCCAATGTCAAGACTGATCGATGTTGGTTCTCATTGCGATTCTGTTTCTTTCATCTAGGACAGTAAAAGGGAATAATTTCGCATCCGCCATTTTAAGAGCTTCGTTCTTTTAACTATTATTTTCTATTATTGTTTAATAATTATACTTTCCTTTTTTTCTTTCATTCTTTCTTCCTTTCTTCCATTCTTCCTTTCTTCCATTCTTCCTTCCTTCCTTCCTTCCTTCCGTCCTTTCTTCCTTTCTTTCATTCTTTCTTTTTTTCTTTTTTTAATTTGCGCTATGATTTTAGCGATACGAGGATGAAATTAATTTTTACGTGTAAATTAGTTGTATACACAAGTGCTTTTAAGATTCGAACGATGAATATTTTTTTAACGTATCATACGTTGATTTTACTTTTTGAATTAAAAAATTAATGAGTGATGTTTATTATTGCGTTGAGGGCAATCGAAGTATAGGGGAAAATTTATTTTGGCGAAAAAGTGTTAGCCCACCTGAAACCAACATCGAAGTCCAAACGTGCAATTTTTTTTTTTTTTTAGCTAATGGAAATAATCGATGCGTGCGTGTGTTGAATGATAACACAGTTTGTATATAATTGTAAATATGTATATCGTCTCTATTTTATATTAGGGCCGACGGATGATGTTGGCAAATTAATATCATACGAAACTTAATTAAAATGAAAAAAAAGGCACTCGGAAGTAATGCGAGAAAAAAAGCGGAAACGAACGATACAGATAGAATAATTATTATGATTACCATTAAAAAAAAAAAAAAAAAAAAAAAAAAAAAAAAAAAAAAAAAAAAAAAAACAATTATGCAGCATATGTATATCTTAATAAAAGTCATGTGTTGAGGTACTTTTTTAAAAAAGTTTAATTATTTTCACCTTTTTCTATTTTTATCGATGATCCTTTATTTATTCTTTCTTCGATGATAAATTATTGTAATAGTTCGTGATATTTTTCTAAATTGAAATATATTTTACAAAATTGCATCAGCCTATCCAATTTTTCATTTAATATGCCCATTATAATTCATTATTGACCATTCATTATTCATTATAATTCATAAAACCATGTCAAATTTTTAAATTATTAAATTCTCATTGATATTTGCCGAATCGTTTTATTTCATTCGTTCATTCATAAGATTTTGAAATTACTTTTAAATCTAAATAATCAAAATTCATTTCTTCCAAGCTAATTGCTAGTGTTTCAAGTATACGTAAAACCCATTGAGAGAGAAATCATTGTCATTCACGCAAATCTGAGATATTCATTCTCCTGTACGAATGCCAAAGCGCGACAATGTGCACAATTTTACAAATACAGAAGGGAATAATAATACATTGATTTGTTATTAAAGTTACGGATGAACTTTGATCGAGATGCTATCCTAGAATATCCACATCTCAGTGCTGATTCACGCGTACGTAGTTACCAAGCCAGGCAATCATACGTATAAGGAAAAAGGAACTTGACGAATTTGCGCAATATCGGCCTTTTTATATTTTTCTTACCTTCCACCCACCACACGCACCCAGTAGTTTCGATAAAAGTAAGTTAAGTAATTATAATTAATGTTCATCTCCTTGTGTGCTTGTTTATATTTTTGGTTTTCCGTTTTGTTTTAATTATATAATTGAACGAGCTTGATCGAACGACCGAGCGCAATGTAAATTTGTTTAAAAGGGGACTTTGTGCAATGTCTCGGTTGGGAATTGTTGCATTCATACGGTCGGTTGCATGGTACATGAGAGAGAAAGGACGCGCAATGCAACGAAAAAATGAACAACCAAACATTGATGCAAATTTTACTTATCAGAATTCTCAAATTGCTCCGACAAATTATTGAAAATTGTAATTTACTATGATGTATCATATGCAATTAAGTATAAGTCACTGAAAATTTAACTTGGGTAATTGTGGATTTTCGTGAAAATGCCTCATTCATTCACAAGAAGGTTATTTATACATGAAAATTACGGCTTGATTATTCAAAATAGATTGCTCTTTATAATTAACATAAGTACTTTGTTATTTCAACATTTCTAGTAAGTATAATTCTAATATGTAATGTTTATTAATAGCCTGTGGATTCTATAAGGCGCGTTTGTTTTTATTTGCAAGAATGTAAAATGAAAAGAAATAATAAATAAAAAATAAAAACGCAAAGTTAGCGAATGACGTCAAACGATTATTAGATGATATCGAATGATTTTTTTGATTTATCAGTACGCATACATTTATATTTATATTTTCCTACTCAAGCAATTATTATATAAATATAATATAAACTTAATCTCTTTTAACGGATCTTTTATAAAAGCAAACGCACAAATATCGTTTAATAATTCCAATAATAAATATTCCATTATTATAGCATTTTAGGGGTTGTTTGCCTTTGTGCGGTAAGGACAAAAATTTTTTATATATTCGGAATTGCATATAAATACATTAGAATATAATACATGAAGGAAGCAAAGGACGACGTATAGATTGAATTAAGGATTTTTAAATAAAGATTGACTGGGATATAAGCGTGTACGAGGTAGGATATCACAATTCCCGATGAGATTTTCGTTCTAACTTTACGAAAATACGACACACCTTATGAATATCCTTACCTAACGTTTACCTGAGGGAGGACATGCTAGTAGCGACATATAGTTTAACTAATACATTTTATAAATAAATCGTCCTTGTATTATGCTTTTCAAAATTCGCGTCTGTTCCATACTCCCTATTCCATGAAGTAATGAAGAGGAACGTTGATGTTTCAATATTCATATCTCATTGTTCCTAAATCTACCATAAGTTTGTTTATATTCTTTTCCATACAAGCCCACGTTATTCTTTTCTTTTTCTTATTTTTTTTTTTTTTTTTTTTTTTTTTTTTTTTTTTTTTTAAATTGTTTCCGTTATTAATGAAGGCATAATTAAAATACAAATCCTGATAAATAAAAATTATTTGTATGTAATTTATTAATGCAGAAAGAACTTGATGTATTATTATTAATTTTGCAAATAAGGGATTTTAAAATAAATCGATCAAGTAAGGTGATGGATAATAATAATATTTGTTCCAAGATTAATTGAAACTTAATTACGCTTTAATCCTCGTGAAAAACAAAAGCATTCCCGTTGAATATTATTCCAATAGGATGCATCACATGCCTTTCACAGCATAAATTATTAATAAATACATTTTATTTTAATATAATTGTGAATAAGAAGATTATAAAAATTCTAATAATTCGACTATAAATCATGGGACGTTTGGCCGAGGTAGGTTCATCTACATAACCTATTTAACGAACTACTTAACTATCCCGATGTTTCTATATTTTTTACAAATATTGTAATATATTGAAGCTCGCTGGCGATAATGACAGAGGAGAAAAGTCAAGAACATTTGTTTTTCAAAATGAAGGACATACGCTAGGAAACGCTTTGCGTTCGATCATAACGCATTAGTAAGTTAAGCGACGGTTAGGACATTGTCCCGTGTTATTTATTATTTTAATGCAAATGCCATGGATCTTTTATTTACAGTCCAGATGTAGACTTTTGTGGTTACACCGTACCCCATCCCGCAGAAGATAAAATGCATTTTCAAT